ATTATCTCAAGGGAATAGTTTTGGGGGTTCAACCAAGCTCCATGGCTCCAGAAAGCCTGGATTCCATAAGAATATGAAATTCTGTTCTACAGTTTCCCCCTTTGGATCAAGATTCTTCTATAGAATCTTTTATCAAAATGTTCAGTAATGGTAGCTGGGTACCATCCAGTTCTTCTGGTTTCATGGCAAAGGAGGCCATTGTTCATAGAGGCAATAAGCCATAACATTCCATTTCCTCCTCTTATTTCTAACTCTCCTTCCTCTGTTTCTGCCTTTTGATTTCTTAATCACATTCCTGAGAATTAATCTCAAGAAAATAAGAAAAATACAATAGGCAGAAAACATTTGTAACAGTACTGTTATTGTAATACAAACTTCTAAATCAGTACTACTTGAAGTATTTGTTACTGGTACATACAAGTGTCTAAGCACACTTTTAGTCCAATTGACATCACTTTCATAGCAAGATGTTCTCAATGAAGGAAGCAGAGCACTGATTTCCACTCTGGAGCAAGTCCCTTATTTGGTGGCTGAGTAAAACAGCTCTCTGAGTAATACTGCTCTAAAAGAACCTAAATGTCCAACAATAAGGACATGGTTAGGTAACCTATGCTATAACTCAATGAAACAAAATGATAAATATAAAGGCAGGTAGATACATGGACTAATAATAGCTAACAATTATTAAACTCTTACTTTGTGCCAGGCACTGAACAAAAGTACTTTACATACATTACCTCTTTTACCCTGGTAACCTTAGGTTCTATCATTATTTCTTTTTTGCAGATTAGGAAATAAAGCTCACAGAGGTGAGAGGCTTGCTCAAGGGCTAAAAGCTGGCTGTAATTATACTCGGGACTCACACCTCAGGCACATATGACTTCAAATCTTGATCACTATATTATACTGCCTCCAAAAGCATTCACAAACAATATTAAATAAAAAGACACAAAACTGAATATAAACTATAACTATGTATATATACATGTTGATAAAAATTTAAAGAAAATGGAAATGACTCTGTTAGGGCGGTGAGACTAAGAAAATTTTTTAAAATGTCTTTTCGTGATTTGTAACTGTTCTAATAATAAATCTAAAAATAACGAAAGTGGTAAATTCAAGATTATAAATAAATTGACATTTATGAGATTTAACGATGCCTCAGTTAAGTATCTTACAAAGCAATTATATAACTATTTTCATTCAATTTTTTAAAAGTTGTCTATGAGATGCTTCCCTTAGAAGATATATTTAAAAGTGTGGTTCACAGAATCCGAGGCCCCACCCCCAGAGTTTCTGATTCAGTAGGTCTAGGGTGGGGCCTGAGAATTTGCATTTATAACAGGTTCCCAGGTGTGATGCTGCTGCTGCTGGTATAGGGTCTTGGCTCTGAGAATCAGTGCTTTATAAAGAATTAGCATCATCCTAAATCTAAATACTGCTGCATGAATCAATTAAAAAGTAACCTTGATATATTTTTTATAGATTATTTTAATGTTCTAAACAGGTTTTTGACAAAATGAAAACAGGTCATTAGATGAAAATTATGAAATAGTTCATTTGGTCCAATTCTCTCTTAATCAAGAGCTACAAACTTTCTAAGGAGACCATATAGTTATAATTTACATATCTACTGATAATACCAGCTATCTAGGTACTCCAGCCAAAGGTGACTAAATGTTTCTCAATTGCTGAACGGTTGTTAGAAGTTAGACTTGCTAAACAAACTAATGAATTTAGAATGAAGAACAGTCCTAAGGTACTAGAAAGAAACCATTCATACAAGTAGCCAGTATCATAGGTAAGTAACCTCCCTAACACAGCTGACAGTTTCTAATAGTAAGAGTAAGAAAGTGCTGTTTCAGCCTTTCTAGAATAATTTGACCCCAATCAAGTTATCTATTGTTGTCAATTTTGCCCACAGGCATGTGGACTATGCCATAAAACATACCTATGTTTCTGACCATGATTCCTTTTAGTTCATCCACTTGGGCTTGAGTCTCCACCACTTTGTCTAGGCCCTTATTCTCAGAGTGATGCTTCTATAAGAAAATAAGATTTAACTTATAGCACCCAGACATAATTTACAATAGGAAAACAAAAACAAGAGGAATGACAATTTACACTGAAGAATGCTATAAAATTATATGTCTACTGATACAAAGGACAGATGTCACATCATTAGAAAAATGTTACCAGAACTAGGGAAAAAAAACAGTAGCGTACAAAAGAATGCTTCTTCACGAAATAAAAGTATCATAGTATAAAAATATCACCTTATTTTAAATAAAGCACAATGTAATACATCAAATAACATGTGAGACTTCTAGGGCAGAAGTAGAAAGGTATGGTAGTGGGGATCTATGATCTATGCTCAGGCCAGGAAGAAAGGAGAGACAGAAGAATACTGTTGAGGCGGGGGAGGGGGGAGATGACAGGGAAGGGGTACCCGAAACTGTTCCCAGCTTCTCTGTGATGAAGTAGGGCTGACTCACTACTAAGAATCTGTTCTTGTATCTGTAGGATTGGAGCATGCATCCTATTTTTATTGGCTTCTCACAGGATCTAGAATCTAAGACTCTAATGATAATATATATTTTGAAGTTATTATCCATAGCTAATTATGGCATGCTTAATATACACTTTAGAAACATACAGTGCTTAATATAAGCGCTACAAATAGAGGATATTATTTAACCTACCAAGCAACTTTATGATGAAGATATTACGTTTACAGATGAGAAAAACTCTGGCATAGATTTGTTCAGAGGGTCACACAGTACTGGAGCCAATGACAACCTAGCTAAGTTGAAAGTTTTGCTGACCGCTGACCCTATTTACTTTTGACTGTGCCTTGGTATATTTTTGTTGGTGGTTTTTTGTACAGTTTCACATACATGCATATTTCCTAGTGGGGAGTATGAAACAAGCCAATCGCTTGAATAACAAAGGCTTATAAGTAACTATTTAAAGGAACTTCATTCTTAGAGGAACATATATTTAGAAGTGTACATATTAAAAAGAACACAGGAGAAGTGAAAAGAATTCAATTACAATAATTTTTTTAAATAATTCACAACAGAATCATAGCTATATCTTATGTCTATGCACTCAAGTAGTTTCACGGATAAAAGTTAAGCACTTTCAAAGGTGCTCAACATCATTAATCAGGGAAATCCACAATGAGATACCACTACGCACCCAGAAAATGGCTAAAATTAAAATGACTGACCATACCACGTGTGGCAAGGATGTGGAGAAACTGGAACTGCTGGTAGGAATATAAAATGATAACCACCACTTTGGAAAACAGTTTGGTGATTTATTATACAATTAAATATCACTTACCATATGATCCAGCAATTCCACTCCTAGGTATTTACCCACTAAAAACATATGTCCACACAAAGACTTGTACGTGGATGTTCATAGAAGCTTTATTCATGATAGCTGAAAACTAGGACAACCCAAATATCTGGTAACAGGTGAATGGATAAACACATTGTAGTCTATGCATACACCTACTACTAAGCAAAAAAAGGGAACAAACTATGGATTCACATCACAAGATGGCTGAATATCAAAAGCTTTACACTCCCAATCCTAGGTATATACCCAAAAGAACTGAAAGCAGGAATGCACAAAAAAAAGAAACTTGTGCACCAATGTTCAAAAAAAAAAAAGCCTTACACTGAGCAAAACAAGCACAACATGAAGAGTACATACTGTATGACTCCATTTATATGAAACTCTGGAAAAGACAAAACTTATTTATAGTGACAGTAAACAGATAAGTGATTGCCTGGGGGCAGACTGTGGGGGAAAGGACTGACTGCAAAGGGACATGAAGGTACTTTTAGGGCAATGGAAATGTTCCCTATTTTAACTGAAGAGGTAGTTTCACAGGTGTACACGTATGTAAAACTTCACTGAGCTGACACCTAGGGATTCTTACAGATGAACAGAGTTTCAAAGGATTAATTCGAGCTATTCAAACATTAGTCTCATAAGAGAGTAGGTTAATGTGTAGGTTAAAAGGGCATTTGGCACGCTCAGTGGATTTAAACATTTTATGGGTAATCGAGCTAGATGATCTTTAATGTTCTTCCCAACCCTGTGATAGTTTGATCATTATTAATAGAGAATATTACTGATTATTAGTTTTCTACCTTAAAATGGAGAAAACTCGTGCCTGGTTTACCCATGGTTCTGTGCGATATGCAGGCGCCACTCGAAAGTGGACTGCGGCAGCACTACAGCCTCTTTCTGGGACCTCCCTGAAGGACAGTGGTGAAGGGAAATCCTCTCAATGGGCAGAACTTAGAGCCGTGCATCTGGTTGTTCACTCTGCTTGGAAGGAGAAATGGCCAGATGTGTGAATGTATACTGATTCATGGGCTGTGGCCAATGGTTTGGCTGGATGGTCAGGGACTTGAAAGGAACATGATTGGAAAATTGGAGACAAGGATTTATGGGGAAGAGACGTGTTACAGACATCTCTGAATGGGCCAAAGAAGTGAAAATATTTGCGTCTCATGTGAATGCTCACCAAAGGGTGACCTCAGCAGAAGAGGATTTTAACAATCAAGTGGATAGGATGACATGTTCTGTGGAAACCGGTCATCCTCTTTCCCTAGCCACACCCATCATTGCCCAATGGGCTCATGAAGAAAGTGGCCATGGTGGCAAGGATGGAGGTTATGCATGGCTCAGCAACATGGACTTCCACTCACCAAGGCAAACTTGGGTACAGCCACTGCCGACTAACCAATCTGCCAGCAGCAGAGACCAACACTGAGTTCCTGATAACGGCACCATTCCTTGGGACGATCAGCCAGCAACCTGGTGGCAGGTTGATTACATTGGACCACTTTCATCATGGAAAGGGCAGTGTTTTGGTCTTACTGGGATAGACACTTACTCTGGATATGGATTTGCCTTCCCTGCACGCAATGCTTCTGCCAAAACTACCATCCATGGACTTACAGAATGCCTCATCTACCATCGTTGCCTCAGATCAAGGGACTCACTTCACATCGAATGAAGTGCAGCAATGGGCCCGTGCTCACGGAATTCACTGGTCCTACCATGTTCCCCATCATCCTGAAGCAGCTGGCTTGATAGACAGATGGAACTGCCTTCTAAAGACACAATTACAGTGCCAGTTAGGTTGCAATACCTTGCAGGGTTGGGGCACTGTTCTCCAGGAGGCTGTATATATGCTCTAAACCAGCACCCAATATATGATACTGTTTCTCCCATAGCCAGAATTCCTGATGCCAGGAATCAAGCGGTAGAAATGGGAATGGCACCACTCACTAATACCCCTCGTGACCCACTCGTACAATTTTTGCTTCCTGTCCCCCGACCCTAAGCTCTGTGGGTCTAGATGTCTTAGTTCCAAAGGGAGGAATGCTCCCACCTGGAGACACAGTACAAATTCCACTGAACTGGAAGTTAAGAATGCCATCCAGCCACTTTGGGCTCCTCATGCTTCTGGATCAACAGGTAAAGAGGGGAGTTAGTATATTAGCTGGTGTGATTGATCCTGATTACCAAGAAGAAATCAGATTGATATTACATAATGGAAGTAAAGAAGAGTATGTCTGTAATACAGGAGATTGCTTAGGATGTCTCCTAGTACTACCATGCCCTGTGATTAAAGTCAATGGAAAACTACAGCAACCCAATTCCAACACGACTTCTAATGGTCCAGACCCTTCAGGAATGAAACTTTGGATCATCCCACCATGCAAAGAACCATGAGTAGCTGAGGTGCTTGCTGAGGGTAAAGGGAATACGGAATGGGTGGTGGAAGAAGGTAGTTCTAAATACCAGTTACGACCACGTCACAAATTGCAGAAACAAGGACTATAACTGTTATCAGCATTTCTTGTTTTATTATACGTGTATGTGTACATATATATATACAGATGTATATATCTATATCTATATCTATGTTTTCTTCTTTTCCTTATCTCATTGCTTATAAGATGTAAACCGGGCTAGTGTTTTCAACTGTGCCCATGTTTGTTGTATCATGTTAGGCCTAAATATGACTTTATAGTTGTCTTTATTTAGGGATTACGTATGCTTTAAGGAGATGTGTAAGGTATCAAGTTGACAAGGGATAGACTGTGATGGTTAATGTCTGTCAACTTAGCTAAGCTATGATTCTCAGTAATATGTAACTATCCTCTACTTTGTGATCTGATATAAGGGGAGCTTCCTTGGAGATGTGGCCTGTATCCAACATATATGGATGTTCTGGCAAAGCTGTCTGTCTCTTTTGATCCTGCATCCAGCTCATCATCCATCATCTGACCTCCAGTTCTTGGAACGTGAGCCAGCAGTCTGCCGTCTGACCTGTCGATTTTGGGTTTTTCAGCCCCTGCAATCACGTGAGTCAGGAGAATCCTCTAGCCTGATGCCTGACCCACAGATTTGGGACTTGCCGACCTCCACAATTGCGAGAGCCACTTCCTTCAGATAAATATATATATATACACACACACACATATATATATACACGCATACGTACATACACAGTTCACTGGTTTTGCTTCTCTAGAGAACTCAGCCGAAGTTAGTAACATAATTAGAAAAGTTTATCGCAGGTCATGGTCCTCTATATTCATAACACTTTAAGGCAGTAAAGAAGATACGACTCATAATATTTTATCCTGAGAAAGATCTTACCAGCTGTGCAGCCAAGACACTTGAGAACTCGCTATTCATGGCATATGGAAGTGCTGTCTGTGCTCTCGAACCATATGTAGTTTGGAACCTCTTCTTTATCTCATTCAGAAAAGTAAAGGCTCGAGAACGTTCAAAATCCTGAAAAGAGACCAACACGGAGTTCACATTTTCAAAGTAAATAAAAGATGATGTTAATGATTAGGAACAATAAAAACAGCTACCGTTTACTGAATAATGACTCTAAAAGTAGCAACTAGCATTGGCCCCGCTTTACAAATAAGGAAACTAAGGCTCTGAAGAGGTAAGTAACTTGCCCAAGGTCAAACAACTAGTGAAAGGAAGAGGTAAGATTCAAATTCAGATACGTCTGATCATTACTAACTGAATATAAGGGTGCCTAGGTTACCGGCTTCTTGAGGGCAGGAATTGGGGTTTTTACTTCCTCTGTATGTCCCATAGAATCTATTAAAAGGTTCCAGCACAAGATGCGCCACACATTCAGAATAGTACAGTCTTTCACGTACAAAGATGATGCTACTGACATGAATACTACTTTTTCAATAATGGCAGTACATTTAAAAAGATCACGTAACATGTCCTTGTCTAATCCTAGCCAGTCAAAAATTTGAGACACACACACACACATACACACACTCCACCACCAGCAGCAGCAGCAAATTACAGATCAAGAAATATAAGGTTCAAATCTGACCATCCCAGATTTAGTGATACTTCTCATCTACTCTAAGCCTTTTCACATCGGAGTCATTTCAGATATAGCTGGGTTTTTTTCTAATTCTAGAAAATAGTGTGAAACCATGAATGTCATTGTAATAACTTTGGTTGACTCGTTAATCTCCATTTTACCCAGTATGATTAGTCTAAGCCAAGGGTTCTTAAACTAGGGTTAATAGATAAATTCAGGAGGCCCATGTACTTGGAAAACAAAACCATCATCGTCACCAATCTTTAACTTACACTTCAATTGTGAATGTAGATTACAAATCAAAGTAGTATTCAACAGTACCCACGACTTTGCAACCAACAGAAATCTTTTTTCACACACCATTACAGTTATAAATACCTCAAAATATCATTTACATTCATCCCTACTTCAAAATTACTGTAGTTATTACACCTATGACTAGATCTTGTTATTTAATGTATTTATAATCACATGTATTACTATGTTAATTTTGAATTATTTAGAATACTGTATTTCAACATCATCGTTTTCCTTTATAGTCATATGTATTTTATTTTATACACTTAAAAACATTCTGAGACGGAATCACAGTGTCAAAGGGGTCAGTGACACAATAAAGGTTAAGAACCCTGATACATGGCAATCATGCTAATTCCATTCCTCTTGTCAGTGATCAGTTTAGAAATCAGCACGTGACTCAGTCCTAGACAATTAGAAACGAAATGAAGTCCACTTTGAAAACGGGGTGAGGGGGAGTGTGTGCTTCTGGGAAGTTTCCTCATTCCTGTGACAAGAGACTCAAGAAGACAGTTGCTCTTCTCTAGACCTAGATAAAAAAGCATGTAACTCCATGCAACCATAAGGGGAACTAAAGTAGGATGAAACCGGCACCGAAGATAGCAGAGGAGAGAAAAAAGCTTGATAATATCATTAAGTTATTGACCATTTTGTATCTAGAGTCTACAAATACTCAAAAACAACCTCATCAATAAACTTCAGGTGTGCATAGCCGATTGTAATGCATTGTGATTCTGTTTTCCAAAGTCCATGTACATTAAAGTCTTCATTAACTATTGACTGAAGGAATGATATATTTAATATTCCAGTTAAACAAATTTTTGAAACGATTTGATACCAAAGGATCAGAGTTATGAACATCAATTCTCACTACATAATAGGATACAGAAGCTCCAAGAGGTTAAGCTAAAATTCTACCAGAACCAGTGTGATTTGCATATACCCAGATATCAACTTTTCTTGTCATTTGCTGCTCTATATAATAAATGCAAAGTACAGAAAAAAACTCCAGCTATGGAAAGTTCTGTCCACGTTGCCTTTACCCTCCATACCAAAACCAAACCAAACCTGTTGCCATCGAGTCAATTCTGACCCACAGCGACCCTACAGGATAGAGTAGAACTGCCCCACAGGGTTTCCAAGGCTGTCGATCTTTACAGAAGCAGACCGCCACGTCTTTCTCCCACGGAGTGGCTGGTTGTGCTTGCATCGCCGACCTTTTAGTTAGCAGTTGAGCATTTCACCACTGCACCACCAGGATATAGATAATTAAGAACCGACTATAATAACAGTACCCACAGTTAAATAGCAATATGTATGCAAGTTACTTACATCATCAGTGATACAAAGATATACAATCCTGTCTTGGCAGATGTAATGAAACAAATAACTGTAGAATAAAAGATATAAAACTTACTGTGGTTATAAGCAACATTTCTTTCACTTCTATCTATGTATAAGCCAAGATCAGCACATTATTTACAGATACAGTTTATCTTCCCTCTCCCCCCCCCCCAGATACTGTTACTCTCAAGTCAGACAAATAGGAGTAAATCAGACATGAAAAGAAGCTCTCTAGCTACACTGCACAACTGCGTGTGTATCACCCATTAAAATGACGGCTGCGAAAGTATAATTGGACTCTTTAAGGCCTGAACAAGAGACGGCATCCAAGGAGAGACATGTAATTAAGATCAATCCCCAATGAGCCATACAGTCGCCTTTACTTTTTCCTAAGATCTTAAAGCAAACACTGTTTCTACTGAATACCCAACAACAACATTATCTGAGTATCTATGCTGAGTCAGTTACTGTGCTAAATGCTGAAGATACAAATGAAACTCTCAGTCCCTGCCTTCACAGAGACCACAGTTCAGGGAATTATAGTGCAGCATGATAAGTACAATGACAGGGCAGCCTGACTGAGATTTGGGGAAGGGTAACAGGAAAGACTTCCTGGACCAACAGATGTCTGAGCTGAGACCTGAAGAATAAGTAAGAGATGGCCAGGTGAAGAGTGAATGAAAAGTGTCGTAGAGGGAGAGACCAGTAAGCACAAGGGCCTGGAGATAAAAGACAACGTACGGGTTTAGGAAACTAAAAGTCAGTCCCTATGTCTAGAGTGTACAATGTAAGGAACAAATAAATTGCCTAGACCAATGAGGCTGGAGAAGTAAGCAAATATCAGGTTATAAGGACATTATAAATCACACTGTGCATTATCCTCAGAACAATGAAGAAGCACTGAAGGGTTTTAGCCGGAGGAGAATGTGGTAAGATTTGCACTTTAAAAGGATGCTTTGGCTACAGTGTTAAGAACTGACTGAAAGGAGGACCAGACAGAAGACTACTGCAGTAAAACAGGTAAGAAACAATGAGGGAAATAAACTAAGGGTGGCACGGCCGATGAAAAAGGGATATAGAAGAGAGATAGGAGGTAACATAGAACCTGGAGATTGGCCATTGGGGGTGAGGCAGAGGGATAACTCAATTTTGTCTCCCAAGTTTCTAGTTCGGGCAATTCGGTAGGTAGGCGTGCCTGTTGAATTACATTCTCAACGTTCACATAAAGGTCTGATATGAATTATAAAGAGGTATGAGAACTTAGGCAAAATGTCTTCCTCTACTATTCTGAAACTGTTTCTACCAATGACTTGCACACTGTTGTATCCAATGGCTCTCTCTGAAACATCTGATAGCGTTGAACACTTCCTCCTTCTGGTAAGTGTTCTCTCGAGATTTCTTGACACCACGCTTGCCTAGTTTACTTTATGTCATAGTCTCTTTCCCTGTATGTTGATGCTTTCCAGTATCTTCAGTCCCCAGCTTTTCTCACACACACTCCTTGGAGAATGGCATCCACGCTCATGCTTTGTTGTTGATTTTTTTTTTCCAGCTATCTATCACAATTATGCCAATTATTCCCAAATCTAGATCTGACCTATCTCCTGAGTTCCATGCCTGCATACACTACTGTCTACTAGACATACCCAAACATAACATGTCCAAAATGAAGGTCATCATTATTCCCAAAAACTTTTTTTCTCCTAAGCCAGACCTGGAGCCTACAGTTATGGACAGAAATAAAGACTGCAATTATTACAGTGTGACAAGTACCACAATGTGGATAAACAAAGGATGTTATGGAGACACAAAAAAAGGGGGCATGTGACCTAGTCTTGGAGTTCAGGTAACGTTTCTAAAAGAGGAAACATCTAAGCTCAGGAAGACAAAGTCAGGTTAAAGAAAATAAGTATGATAAATTATTCCAGTAAAAGGTAATAGATATTGCAAAGGCCAGGAAGAGAGAAAGAACCTAGCATTGAACTGAAAATAGCTACGTATGGCTGGAAAACAAAACCGAGAGCTAGACTAGTAAGAGATGAGGCCAGAGAAAGCACGGGCAGATCTTGAAGAACCTTCCAAGTCACGGTAAGGAATGTTAAAGAACTTTATCCCGAGGGCAGAGAGACCTGCTGGAGGAAAGACACAATAGGAACTTCACTTTTAGAAGCACGAAAGTAATAATTAAGAAAGTCTTATTTCATTTGGGACCTGAAAAACGAGTAAAAGTTTACCAGGGGGCCTAGGAGGGAAAGAATATTCCAAGAAGATGCAAAAGCATAAAAAAAAAAAACACCACCACCATAACAAAGCCTGAAATAACACCGCTAGTTCAGGGAATGGAAAGCAAGTCTATGGAGATAAGGTTAGAAAGGCAGGGAATGGACTAAACTGTGAAGGGTGAGTTTGGGCATTATTTGAAAAGCAATGGGTTTTAAGGAAGAAAGTAGTATTACAGGTATGCGTCGCTTAACATCCACGATCAGTTCTGTGAAACGGGATATTATGTGATTTGAACGTTGTGTGAACACCTGGGTCTGCCGCAGGGCTCCCGGGCACACGGGCCCAGGGACTGCTGTGCAGCTTGCGGCCCTGAGCAGCTCCTGTTGTGGACACCTCAGGTGAGCGCTCAGCCGGGTCCTGTCCAGCGCATGGCCCCACAACCCCATGAAAGTCATGGCGGGGAGGCTCAGGGCACAGGCCTGGGCAGCAGGAGAGCGGTCTCGGCAACCTGGTGCCCTCGCCCTGGCCGGGCCCCATGATGCCTGCCAACCTTGGGTGCGCAGGAGCAAGACAGGGCACCCGCTCCTCGCAGGGGCACCTGTTTCTGCGGGTGGGGGGTGGTAGGGCGGGCTCACTGCCAAGCAGGGCTGTGGGAAGGTGTTAAAAAGATAAGTAGTATGCTTACACTGTCAGGGAACCAAAGTGTTACCTTAAAGCAAAAACAAAGCCAGGGGGAAAAGGGAGAAATCAAAAAGAGCTCCGGGCCAGGGTGGCCTCATGCATACCAGTGGTTTTTGTCATTTATGACTAGGCAAAATTTATGACTTGGTGCCCCAAAGCTGCAAACAGAGCACAGAACAGCAAACACTTGCTCCTTATGGCATACTGCAGGGGCCAACATGAAAGGGGAAGCCGGGCTGGGTAGGGGGCGAGAGCCGGCCACAAAAATCCACTCACCAGCATTTTCTCTTCAAACCGCCTGGTCAGATGTGGCATTTGAAGAAAGAAGGCATGGGTTAATAATCAACCTGCACTTTCTCCTCCAAACTGCTGATGTGACTGCTGCTGCCTTCTCTGCTAAGCCAGCTGCAGGGAAGACCAGCTTGCCTGTGAGAACCTGCCTGGGGAGGGGACAGTGCAGGCCGAGGGGGCTGAGAGTGCCCGAGCCAGGCCTCGGGTGCCCAGGGCAGACACCCTTCCATCAGCGCTCTACAGGACCACATCGGGCAAAACACAGGGACTAGACCTGCCAAGTAGCGGGAGCTAAGGGGGACTGGGGTTCGGAGTCTGGGCCTAGGCCTCCGTCACCACAGACTAGGTGGGTTCCGGGCTGCACGCAGCAGCCAGGCAGAAGTGAGGCTCTGACCGCAAGACAAGGGTCTGGTGTCCTGGCACTCAGACACCTGGGTGCCCCAGTCCACAGACATATATGCAGTGGGATGTTGCTTGAATGGACGTTAAGCAATGCATACCGTATAAGAAATGGAAATACAGATTAAAGGAGGGAGCAACCAGAAGCAGGAAAGCCAGTTAGGAGGCTGTCAGAGATGAGAAACAATGAAGGCCTGAACTAACACAGACAGCAGAGAAAAATGAATTGATTGAAGTACCTCTTGAAGGAGAGAATGACTAGGATGTGATGAAGAAGTCAATATGATTCTGAAGTTTCAGGCTTAGCCAACTGAGTAGCTAATAAGCCTATTAAAGAAGAAAGGAATGGAAGAGAAGACCAGATCTCAGGGGGAAGATGATACGTTCAATTTTGCATGCACTAAGTCTGAAGTATCCATGAGGCGTCCCAGTGGACACGTTTACATAGTAGCAGTTTAGTAATATGGAGATGTCAAACATTCGTGAAGTCAGGATCAGAAATATAGATTTGGAAGTTAACATTCAGTGGAATAGCTTCATTACAATGGTGGGATGGAAGTCGGGATGTTGAGGCAAGAAGTATTCGCTTCTCTTTTAAGAAATTTGGAGGTGAAGAATGGGAGTAAGACAGGGAAAAAACTTGAAGAGACAACTGAGTCAATAAAAATATAATCTTTAATTTTATTTTTTAAATTAACACACAGTGAAATGGATTTTTTTGGTGTACAGCAATAAAAGATTCTTTGATTGAGACGATTCAACATGATTATAGGAGAGAAACCAAGGCAGACGGTTAAAAAGAAAAAAAAGTCAGTGACGAATGATCATCCCAGCGGATACAGGAGAGGACTGGATCAGGACATAGACTGATAACATCTCCTTTTTCTACTATAGCTGCTTTCCCTAGTCATTTGTATGGATTGAATTGTGCACCCCCACAGGAAATGTGGAAGTCTCAGAAATAGGGTTTTTCCTGTTATGTTAATGAGGTCATACCAGAGTAGAGTGGGTCCTAAACGTAATCACTTCTGAGTTATAAAAAGAGCAGAATAGACACTGACATACATGGAGCAGGGAGACATATACCACATGAGGACCTGTCTACAATCCAAGGAATACCAAGGATCACCAGCAGACACCAGAAACCAGGAGAGAGGCCCACATATGGAACCTACACAGCCAAGACCATTTCACTTTTCAGCCTCCAGAACTGGGAGACAATACATTTCTGTTCTTTAAAGTCACCCACCTGTGGTGTTTCTGTTACTGCAACACTAGGTAACTAAGATAGCATTTTCCTGGGAACTGACTAGATACACATTAGAGCATAAGCCTAATAAGTTTCGGAAGAAATTATAAAGCCACACCCACAAGAGTCTGTGACTGTTTAACTACCAAAGCAGCCTCTAGTCCCCCAAACCTACACCAGCAGGAAGTAGACTATAAAACCTGTACAGTTCCCAAAGATGATGTACTCTTCCAATACTCATCTCGGATGTAGCCAGAGAGGGTAATGGACCAGGAAGAACCTTCAGGAGAGCAAAGCCAAGTGTCAGGGAGAAAGTCAAGGAGCTCTTCCAAGAAAGCAGAACCACTAACCACTCCACAGTCAGAAGAGGGAGTCTTTGAAACTGTTGCAAAGCAGTTATTTGATCACTACTAGGAATCAGTGACTTCTACATATTTCTCGTTCTTCCCTTTTCCAGATTGGAGTCTGTAACTCCCACTGTGGTGATCCTGTTCTTATTCCACCATTGTCTATTGGGTTGGGTCAGGGGAGCAGAGGGAACAGATGACTTACCTTTTAGTTTATGGTCAGTGTGCCACAGGAGCCACCCCTGGGCCTGACGGAGAGGGCTGTGTATCACCCAGAGACTCGGGATTTAGTGCTGGATACAGCGACCAAAAGAGACTTTGGGGCCACACACCTTGGAGAGAATGTGTTCTCTATGTTTGGGAAGAAGAGTATACCCAGATATTTGGGTAGCCAGAGGAGAAGACTGGAAGACTGCAAGTCGTCCCCTGATATCCTGTGACTTCTTCCAGAGTAACAGAGTTTTAGCTGAGCACATGGCTGCACAGCCAGAGACCACGTTTCCTGACCTCACGCACAGCTACGTTAGCTGCGTGACTATGTTCTGAACAATAAACTGCAAGCAGAAACAATGTGTGCTACCTCTGGACCTTACCTTTAAAAATACTGTGCAAGCACTGGTAGGTAACAAGAACTGACGCAGCTGCCTTGGCCAGACTTAGAAGCCACTAACTGAGAATGGCAGAGCAATCCCACCAGTACTGAACCACCCATCTCTAGACTATCTCTTTGGGGACTCTTACAGTAGCTCCGAGTATACTCTAACATATATACTATATGTTAGCCCTAGAAAGTAGTAAGGACCTTCTTCTGAGACAAGAAGTAAGGAAATAAGGATGGGTTAAGTAACAAATTTTTACATAAAGATGAGGAAGGTTGAGGCACTTTTTTATCTGATTACTAAGATTTTCCATCTATGCCATCTCCGATCCATTCTCCAACCAGCCACCAGAGTGAGCTTTCGAAAGCAAAATCCGACCTTGTCATACTCTGGGCTGAAAACCTTCAGTGCCTTCCTACTGCCTTCAGGATAAAGGGCAACCACTTATGACTTCTCTCTACCCATCTCTCTCTCACCAACCTGGGCACCAGCCACAGAGAACAAGTGCATTTCCCTAAATTGGCCCTATAATCTTATGTCTCCATACCTCTCTTTCTGCTTTTCTTTCTACCTGGAATTCTATCCCTCTAACCTCTACCTCTCACCCTCCACTATAATTATCTATGGATCTGACTATCTTGCTCACTAAATTATAACCTCTATGAGGGCAAATACTGTTTCTTGTTGTATCCCTATCACAAGCAAGGTGCCTGGCAATGTAAGTGCTCAGTAAATATTTACTGAAGGAATGAACAAAGGAATATTATTTATCTTATCTGCATCAAGTTTCATATAGCCAAGAGCACTTTAGCAAAATCATTTTTACATGTAACATTTCCGTATCTTTCTTTAAAATAAATTCTTAATATTATTTCAATGATAGACTATAAGAATTACACAATAAATTTATACTTAATAAAAACAGATGTTTTCTAAGCTGGTAAAGGTTATTGTTCTGTGAGCTTATTCAAATTATCTACCAAGTTTTCTTTCACCCTCTCCCACACGCGAAGCCGAACTCACTTGCCATGTGAGTATGTCAGTTTGTTATTTTCAGAAGGTATCTTAGCCAGAATCTGCTCTGTCACCTCCAGGAAGTTTCCTCCACACCAAGCATGTTTGGCAAGGATAGTGGTTCCCCTGGCAACAACAGCAAATAGAATGGCCATGGCTTCAATCTAGCAAAGGGAAAAAAGACACATAAGATTTAGAGTATTTCTTTGACATAATCTTTCAAAAGTAACTTATCATTTATTAATATCATCTGGAGACAGTACTAAACAAGGTGCTATAACAACATTAAACTTAACAGGCTTAAAAACAAGTTTAAAAGTAAGATCACAGTCTTTAACAAGCTTACCAACTTAAGCCAGATATGCATGCATATTTATGTTGTTACTTCCGAGGTGCCTCTGGGTGGGTTTGAACCGCCAACCTTTCAGTTAATAGTCCAGCCCAGCGCCTAACCATTTGCACCACCCAGGGACTCCTGCGTATGTATAGAGACATACAAAATACGATATTACACATACACACATTACACTAGTAGATTACATTTACAAATTATACAGCACAAACCGATATAACCCTTTTGAGAAGCAATGACTATATACAGCAAAGGGACACAAAGATGTCTTCATCCTTTACCCCAGGAATACCATCCTGAAAATTTATCCTAGGAAAATAATTCAACAGAAATTACAGTCTAGATTCACAAAGATGCCTATTAACAATAATAATAGCCCACTTTTATTAAGTGTTTACTATGTGTCAAGCACTGTTTTAAGCACTTCACAATTATTAACTCATTTTATCCTCACAAACAACTCAATAAGATAATACACTATTATGATGCTCCTATTACAGATGAGGATGCTGAAGCACAGATGACTTTAATAATTTGCCCAACATTATCCAGCTACTAAGTGATCAAACTGGGATTTTACTCCAGGCAGTATGGTTCTTGCCCCTATACTGCACACGGCCACTAGCATAAAGGCATTACCCATAGTGGAAACTAAGTAAAAATAACCCAAATCTTCCACGACAGGAATGGTTTTATAAATTATATTAAGATCCTTTATAAACAAAACATTACTAAAATAATACATCATGAGCTTTAGATTATTTTTCTCACGTTTGGTTATGAATATATACCATTTATTTCCATACAACACCCCAGTTTCTCTTAACTAGTGGCAACAACTTGTAAAAAGAGATAGACACTTATTATTCTTAAACTTATTGTTATCTGTTAACATGTTCAGCTTCACCCCATAGACTAGCAGTTCTCAAACTTCAGTATGAATATGAGTCACCTTGGGTGGCAGAATGAGAGTCGCCTGTTAAAAAGTCAAATTCTTGGCACTATCCCCTGAAATTCTGGTTCAATAGGTCTGAAAGAGAGACCCTGGAGTCTGCATTTAAAGCAAGCCTCCCTGGATGCAGGTGATTCATACACCCATACTTTGTGAAACACTGCAGCAGATTATACACTGCTTGAGGTCAGGGAACATGCTGATTCCTTCTTGGAATCCCTGCACCAAAGGACCACAAGGACTGCACGCAGAGCAGAAAAGGCACTCATCTGTTTCTTGAGCTGAACTCTTCTTAGTGTCTCTTCTTCATTCCACTGTCTAAATGAGGGTCTTTGCGAGGGTTTTGTCCTCAGCTATCTTCTTTCTGGATTTCTCCTTACACATATGTAGCAATTTATAGTTTCCTAATCACTTTTTCATACGTTATCTCTCCCTTGATCCTAAAAGCCTCCCTTGACCACATATTGCATTTCAGGTACTGTTCCTTTTTTCTTTTTCTTTGTTGCCAACCCCACGACATGTCAACACTCTCCCCTGCTTGACCTTGGGTTCCCCATTACCATCTTTCCTGTCCCCTCCTGCCTCCTCATCCTTTTCCCTGGGCTGGTGTGCTCATTTAGTCTCGTTTTGTTTTACGGGCCTGTCTAATCTTTGGCTGCAGGGTGAACCTCGGGCGTGACTTCGTGACTGAGCTAAAAGGGTGCCTAGCGGCCATATTCTCGGGGTTTCTCCAGTCCCTGTCAGGCTGGTAAGTCTGGTCTTTTTTTGTGAGTTAAAATTTTGTTCCACATTTTTCTCCAGCTCTGGCTGGGACCCTCTGCTGTGACCCCTGTCAGAGCAGTGGGGGGTGGTAGGTACTGTTCCATTTCTTAAAATCATTCTATATACACACTATCTCTGCTTCTCCACCTTCTTTTAACTCTTCAACTTACTAGAATATGGCTTTTGCCCTTAACACTCCACGGAACCATGGTTGCTAAGATCACCAACCACCCCTATGTCGCAAAATACCGTGGTCACGGCTCATTCTCACTTCACTTGACCTCTCAGGAACATTGAGCACCGCTGATTAACCCTCCTTGAAACGCTCTCCTATGTCTCTGGCTACTCCTTCTGTCTTCTTGATGACTCCTCCTCCTCTAACTGACCTTAAATTTAAATGCTGACTTTCCTCAGGGATTAGTTCTGCACCCTATCATCCCTAGATGAGTTCATCTAGACCTGCCATTTTAAACACTGTTTATTCGCTGACAATACAATGCATACAGAAAGAAAAGTGCCATAGATAAAGCCCCAAGGCACAAGCAACAGCGAAGGGAAAGGCAGATGAATAAGGGCCTACGAAGAAGATTGAGGACAAACTTGGAAAGTGACAGGAAAGCCAGAAGAGTGTGGTGGCCTAGAAGCCAAAGGGAAAATTTTTTCAAGAAGGAACGAGTGTCAGCCATGTTCACTGGTACAGAGACTATGAAGAAAAATAAAAGCTGTAAAACTATCATTGAAATTTTATAACAAAGGAGGAGGTCATTGGTTAGGATCAACAAGACACACAGAGACAAATATAAACAAAGAGACAAGAAATCATACACATAGTCCCGGAGACAGAGAAATGGGAGGGAAAAAAAGAAAAACTAGCCGCCTTCTTAGTCCCTGAATAGCTTCACGAAGAAAACTGAGTTTGGCAACAATACACAAAAGATCTAGCGTTTTGGTGAACCCTAAGTTCGTTATTGGAGCCCTGGTGGCACAGTGGTTAAGAACTTGGCTGCTAACCAAAAGGCTGGCAGTGCGAATCCACCAGCTGCTCCTTGGAAAGCCTATGGGGCAGTTCTGCTCTGTCCCATAGGGTCGCTGAGTCAGAAATGACTCGACAGAACACAACAACAACGAAGTTCATTATGAACCAGTGACATGAAGTAACTGCTATCATAAATTACATTAAGGAACAGGGTGTCTTGATCTCTTTAAGTAACATTGCCATTACACTCTGTGCTAGTTAAAACATGTGGAACACTGAATTCAAGTCTGGGTATAACATTTCAAGATTGGATAGAAGGGCAATGGTATGGGTGAGAGATCTGCAGATCTCATCACCTGAAGAATGGCTGGAGGAACTAGAAATATTTAACAAGAATAAGAGAAAACTTAGAAGGACTATGACAGTAGTCTCCAAATTTTTATAAAGTACAGTCGCCTGGAACAGGAAACACATTATTCAGAATATAAATGGGGTAATGGATACAAGTTACAGGGAAACGGAGTTTTGTTCAATAAAAGCATTCCCCAATTAAAACATACCTAACTGTTAAACATTAGCTACACAGAAACAAACTTTACCTTCTTCCCAGATGTCGCTAACAGGAATTCCCTTCTCTTTCTTTATCTCTTTTGCAATAGACTCTGTAACGCTGTGACGAGTATTGGGTAACAGAAACAACCGTGGCAGAGGGTACACTACATCTGAAGTCAGAAAACCTCGCTCTGCTAATTGCCAGCGGTATATGAATGCCTACTAAACCATAAAGTGATATATAAATATAAGATAACATTCAGGAAGAAAAAGAATGAAAAGATAAACCAGAGAGGGAAGAGAAGGAAAACAAGATAATGGAGTATAAAGGAAAAGTCCTGTCTCAACAGTATTCCTCCCTGTTCTCTTATTTACTCCTTGCTTGGTTCCAGAATCATCAACCCAATTCTACTTCATTTCTGCTAAGATTCCCCCACCTTAGAAACTCACCATTCCCCCCAAATCAATCCTACTCTTCCTTCTTCATATATTCACATCATCCAATTTGCCTTCTTCCCCTCTCCCAAACCCTTCTCTTTCCTCACTAATATTGGAGTCCTGTCCCTAAAGCTATGGGTCACAAGGGCAACCACCAGAGCCTGGAGTTTGAGAAGTCTGTTTCTACTGCCTAAAGGTTCCATAAGGAGCCCTGATAATGCAATGGTTAAGAGCTAGCCTGCTAACCTAAACGTCGGCAGTTCAAACCCACTAGCAGCTCTGCAGGAGAGAAGACCTGGTGATCTGCTCCTGTCAAGATTTCAGCCTAGGAAACCCTCTGGGGCAGTTCTGCTCTGTCACATGAGGTCACTATGAGTTGGAATCGACTTGATGTCACACAACAACAACAACAAAGGTTCCATGAAAAGGATATTTTTGCTCCAGTTGCTGGGATTCCAAAACAACATACGCAATGGGAAAATCCAAGTTAGAATTCCAGATGTAGTTTTTCTTTAAATAGAGAAATTATTATAAATTATGGTGAAGGTCTGAAGTCCAGTAAATTAAAGGTTAAGTAAGATGCTACTGGCTGGTATAAGAATCAAATTGTTTATGGATAGCATTATTTATAGGGGAAAATGAATTCAGAGTTTCAAACAATAATCTTACCAAGGAACTTTTGGAATATCTCCCTTTGCAAGGGATTGCCTGTATAAAGAAAAATCTGCTAACAAAATAGCACAGCATCAGTATAAATGCTCTTCCTCAGTGGAGGCATTCAAGAGAGGTTAAAGACAGTGTCAGGGAGCAGAGCAGGGGAAAAGACCAAGTCAGTGTTTCTCACACTGGAGTCCATGTATTCTGAGAAATTTTTCAATTCTATATTTTTATTCTGATAACATTAAAAATATATAAGTATATTCTGGATCATGTACACAATAAGTACCTTACAAATGAGCAATGGCAACTTCAGTGCCGCCTTTGCACTCATGTTTATAAGGCACAGGCGTCAAGAAATCCCCTAAAGTGACAGTGCTTAATTTTTAACGTCTTGGTAAGTACACCTGGCTCTTAGGTTGGGCACATCCTAAAATCATAACGACAATCACGACTTAAACACTCTTGTACTCCTGTTATGTTTTTTAAATCAGTTATAATGACAACATTTATCTTTTGCAGTCGTGACTTACAATGGAAAGATACCTGCGTGCAATAAGTCTTCAGCTGTATTTTAAGAACTGAGACTTTTATCTCACATTCTGAAAACGACAGTGTGGCAGAATAACTAGCACTTGAATTATCTCCGGCTAAGGAGAAAATAATACTCGAAGATGGGTTTTACCAACTGAAAACCAAATGATACCATAACATGCTGTACAAAGGTTGTGTCACTGTTCAAACGGAGAAAATAAGCGTAAGAATCAACTGCTCACACAAACCACGGTAATACAGTCAATGACAAATCAAGAGAAAGTATTCTGTATCATTA